CAGGTAACCTGTGGGACTTGATTTCATCCATTGTTTTGGCCTACCCATTATACTTGGGCAGAATGAATATGCTCCAAGTCCTTTCTATTAAACATTATCAACTTGTGGGTCCAGGGAAGTATGCTTTCTCTGTTGCGGCCTCTGAAACTTCATTTCCCCCAGCGATACAAACAGCACCCTCTTTTCTGGCATTCCCAAAGCCCTTAAAACCTATCTTTGGTCCCAAGCCTGGAGTTAATGTCTACTGGAAGAGGATTCATATAACATTAAGCCAAAATCAAATCACATTATGGTTGTTGTTTTTAAAAAAAACAAGGCAATTGTACACTTGATAAGTTCTGTAAATAACTGAAGGAGAAACAACACAGGAAATCTATAACAATTTGCCATTTCCATTATCAAATCAATTACTTCAAATTATTGATTCTCCAAATATATATATGAATATTTAACATAATCCATAATCTATTGAATTATTTGTCCTTGTCCATTAAAGTTAGCATAAATTGCAACTCTGCTCCATCTTTTAAATGTACTTCTGCTAATACTGGAAGCATGTCTTCTAAATTCAACTTTGGGACATTAGCCTGAACGTAAGGCCTCCCTTTTTCTGTGAATATCGTTTTCAACATCTGATGAAAAATAATAATTTTTAAAAACTTCAATCAAATTACTTTCTTAAGCAATAGGGAAATTTCACAAGAAGGAAAGCATGTAACGTGTAAGAAAGAATGTTTGAGCATCTTCATATTAATTTGTGGAGGGTTGATAATAACAGTTTAGGAAATATTATATTGCAAATTTATCCCATTAAGAAACTCATATAGAATAAGATAAAAGATTATCTTGATGATATGCATGAGTGCAAAATCCTTATGAAAATAAATCAACATTCTATGTTACTGTTTTGTCAATTGTGTAAAGTACATTCTTATAAACTCTGTGTTTGATGCCAGTTTTTGCAGAATATTGCAAACTTACTACCTAAGTAGAAGCTAGGATACTGTACTGTATGTTTTTAGGTAGGTAGGTAGGTAGAAATAGACGAACACATAGTTTACAATCCAGTGGTAGCCCGAAAGCACATTATCCAGCCACATCAATTTGTGGTACTTAATTAACAGAGACCATCATGCAATCTTATGCAACAAAAGCTTCCGTGAAGAAATTGTTTAATTTCAAAAATGCTTAGTTTCATCATTCCTTTCCTAGTTCAAAGGCTCAAAGAAAATAGAAAACAGAAAACAGAAATATTAAAATGCAATATAACTTAGGGACAATCTGTTTTATGAGAGAATATAAACATTTATAAACAACAGAGATGATTTCGGGAAGGACTGTAGCCGAGACAGCTAGCTAAACCTGACATATGCCTGTGAAAGGAAGAATTAACCTAGCAGAGAGCACAATGCTATTCTCCCCCTTCTATCCTACCAGGACTCTGTGGCTCTTTCCAGGTTGCCTGGAATTTTTTTTAACCACTATCTGTCCTGCTTACGACCGAAGAATAGTCAAAATTTTGGTGATTGCCACTGCTACCTGTATTAGTATTACTTTGTTTTGTATAATTGTATTGTATTTTATATCTATTTTTTTAGTTTTATAAGTATAGCTATATGTATTTCTATTGTAGCATTTTCTGGCCAAAAATTTTGATTTGAGCAAGTAAAACGGTGCTAGAATGATATATAAACATTGCCCCATCTTGGCTCTCTGTGGCATAAGAAGGGAAGAGAAAATGCTGTGGGCTTTCAAATTATGTTACTATGCGCTATATCTAGGAGTGGACTTCAAAAATTTTAGCAACGGGTTCTCTGGTTGCTGGATGGGTATAGCCATGGTGGGCGTGGCCTAGTTGGCCTCCTGCACCATGGCGGGAGGGGTGTTTTTGCCCTCCCCAGGCTCTGGAGGCTTTCCTCGAGCCTCCAGGAGAGCAAAAATGGCCTCCCCGGGCTCCAGAGACTCTCCGGAAGCTGGAAACGGATCCATTTCCAGCCTTCCTGAACTTCTGGCAGGTCTGTTTTTCACCCTTCCTGAGCCCCCGCACATGCCCTGCACTTACCTGCATCCAAATTGAGCCACGTGGGGATTCCTGGGAGGAGCGGGGTGGGGTGGGTGGGGCCAGCCAGGAGTAGGATTTGAGGGTTCTCCAAACTGCACAGAATCTTAGCTAGGGGCTCTCCTGAACTCCTGCGAACCCCTAGCAGCCCACCCCTGGCTATATCGATAATGTAAGTTACAAATTTTCTTATGGAGTCAGCTGTACTTCAAAGGGCTAACATCCCTATTTGAATGCCTGTTTTGCTTCACGGTGTACCTTCTTCAAGATAATTTTTTGGTGGTTCTCTACAGTGTTTGCTGCAAAAAAAGCTTCTTATAGAAATAGATTGCCTATATTGAAAAAAGCTAAAGCTGTATTTTATTGAAAAAATATTAAGGCTCAATACAAACTTACCAGTGATGGGATTCAAAAAAAAAAAATTATTATTGGTTCTGTGAGCGTGGCTTGGTGGGCGTGGCAGGGAAAGGATCCTGTAAAATCTCCAGTCAGAGGTGGTATTTGTTGGTTCTCTGAACTACTTAAAATTTCCGCTACCGGTTCTCCAGAACTGGTCAGAACCTGCTGAATACCACCTCTGAAACTTACTTGGCGGTAAATTCAATAAAACAGCTCTTTTGGGGGGTTAGTATTCAATAGATTCTGCTACAGATGTGTCCTTCACAAGATGTTTATATCTAATTTATATAATTAGAAAACATTCATGATAAATTTTGAGCAACTTAGTCATTTATATCTTTATCCTTTAGGGTTTTTTTTTCCTGGAGTCAGTGGGATTTATTCCCAAATTAAGTTTGTTTTTGTAGTGCTATGTTTGGCCTCCATCATTCAGCTTCCTTTGTACTTTTGAATATCATTTATTCCATGCTTTTCCTTTTAACAAGAAATTGGCTTTTTTCTTTGAAAAGCAGCCAACCTGCTGACAGTAAGCTAATTACTACAAGGTCAGTTAATGATACCGATAAAGCAAAAATTGTGCAATGATTTGCAGAATCTATAGGTTGATTTCTACAGAATCCATGTTCTTAGTTTTTCTTAGTTAACCATTTTTTTAAAAAATTAATCTCATTTAAAAAGGACCACTAAGCAATCATGTTAAGGAAGTAAAACCTTTCAAGATATACTTGGATTTCTTTCTGTTTCCCGATATTGAGCATGTAATTTTGTAGTAATTCAATGAAATTTCAGACAATAGAATTACAATATGTAATCCAGTCTGTTTAGAGTATAACACCTTGATGATCTTTAAAAGGATTTTTTTCTTTTGCTCTTGCTGTTTCTTCATTAATTTTTTCTTTTGCCATTTCTTCATATTAATTCAGGCATGACTTTTGCTCATCTCCTGTGAAAATAACAGAATTTTATTTTTAAAGATCTTGACTGCAGACAAGATAAATACTATTCTTACAAATAAATATACAGTGCATAATAATAAATTTGACTTTACATCAATTATAACAGCTGTATTTTTCTAAAATCCGGGGAAGAAACTTTCCTATGATTTCCTCATCACACTGACTAATTACCTTGATCTTTTTAAAAAAATCAACTGTGCCATAAGATATTAATTGATATTTAACAGCCAAAATATCAAACAACCTTGGTTTGAATTCTCTTGAGTCTTGGTAGAGTCAACATTACATTTATTGGAATATATTTAAATAGCTGAACTGTTAAAAATGAAGCTGAAAACATTAGAATGGAAATTTAGAACAAAAAAAAAAGGCCTTTTTCCCCATTTCCAAATGGAGGAAAACATTGTGTTTGCTATGTATCACACAGCGCACATGGCCTACTGCAGGGGTGTCAAACTTGCTAGATGCATCACGTGCTGGCCATGTCCACCCCCAGTTTAGCAAAGGAGGGAAAAGTTACAGTATGTCATGTGATGACAATGTGACACCCCTGGCCTACTGGATCCCAAGGAGTGTGCTATTTACTTGAACAACACCTCACCTCTTCACATAGTTTGGCAGCTGATGTGTCTCTTTTATATATGGATTTCCCTCTTTGGCAAGTAGAAAGATTTGGAGATTTCCATTCAAGACTTTCCTAAAAGAAAATGAAGTAAACCCATAAACATCCTTCCTGCTTTTCATTGAAATCTGCCAATGCACTGCATTCACCCTGCACAATAAGTCGTAAACAAGTTATGCAACTTAGGTCAGGGGGAGAGAGGCAATTGGGCTGGTATTCCAGCTTGGCTTTTTATGTCATGGAAACATCTGTAATCAAAGCCTGTGTTTATTTTATTACAAAATGTAATGTATAAAGTGTTCCCTCTTTGAAAGGAGAAACTAGATCTTGAAAGATATTCCGCTAAGTTTCAGAACTGGAGAACAGCGTAAATAAAACAGGCCTATTATTGACAGAGACAGACTCTTTTTGAAGAACAAATTTTATTGTACTGACACAACTTGGCTTTATTGGAGCTTGGCTCTATATTAGAGCATGATCTGAAGGATCGTGAAGCAACAACTTTTCTAACAATGGTGTGTGCTTTTAGTGATTATAGTATAATCTGTTGTAGAATAAGTGAAAATCGTCTCGAATTCCGCTTCCAGCCTGGAGATCCAGGAACAACAGAATCTCAGTGTCCATTTCTGAGTTTCTGCAAACTACAAATGATAAAATAGGAGAGACCAGCATTTCCCAATCATATTATCAGTTCATCTAAATATAACATTATTCAATACACAGAATAACACAGGATATAACAAACTTAGTGATTCAAAGCAGCTTTGGTTGTTATCATTAAATATCCTCCATTTGTTTCCCTTCATGATTTTTTTCTTAATGAACCTGGCAACTTTCATGTAAAGAATGTATAATCTCGAGATGTCTTAAATGCTCCAAGCTGCTCAGATGTCACTTTCTGCCTTTATTTTTCAATTTCAAAGACGACGTGGTCACTGATTATTATTATTATTATTTTCTTTAGCTGTGCCTCCTAAATTGAAGGAGATGAAAAGTCAAGAATCTGCTGTGGGTCAGACACTAGTTTTGAGATGTGAAGCCAGTACTGAGCACCTCTCTCTCAAATTCAAATGGTTAAAGAATGGAAAAGAAATAACAAAAAGAAACAGACCAGAAAATGTCAAGATTAAGAGCCCCAAAAAACAAAAGTAAGTATATAACAGTGTATCTAAAAAGCAGAGAATTGTTTATCGTGATGCAAATATCGACTGTATTAATCATCTCAGATGCCCAAAATGTGTTATTCTGTTTGGAAAGAAATAATTAATAGAAATAGATTATTATTTTATTTTAACTTCGTTATTTTATGCTGCTGTTATATCTTACTTCATAAAAAGTTAAATAGAAGTTATTTGTAATTATTAAGCTAGTTCCATAGACCAAGTATACATTTAATAAATTGGTTTGCACCCACTGTGCTAGACACATTCACAGTCTAATGATCATTGTGAGAGACAAAAAAAACCCTTACTTTGCTAGGTAGGTATTGTTATGTTTCAGGAAAAAAATAGTTGCAGTTTCCTCTCATTCTCGCTTAGAAAACTCATGGACCTGTTGCACCACAATCAGAATCAATATATTTTTAATGATCCCGTTAGAATGTGAATATAAAGTGAATATAATTTTTCATTGATCTGACTAGATTGTTTTTTAATCTTTAATATTTGTGCAATCAGTATAATACCTTGATTGGTTTGGGATACATTTAAACTCCCTATTCTTAGTTTAATCTGCCTTGAAGAATAGTTATGAAGCTAAAATCTTAGGATGAATTAAAAAACATAACATGAACATTTTGATGAGTTTTAGTCCATTTCCTCTGAGGGAGCGCAATTGAACCAAATATCAAGACACAAGTATCTTTCATGCTGCTGATTTTATCATATATATTTTGTCATATATATAAAGGAAGATGAAGCAGAGTTTTTATTAGTTCATTTCAAACAACGAGTGTCTGGAAAGCTTATTATGCTTATTGTCATAGCTGCAATTTTCAATCCCAAATAGCAGCCAAAATCAATGAAAACACTTAATTTTTTTGTTAAACTGAAGTTCTTTTTTTTCTGTGTGTGTCTTATATTAAATACTAGAATACTAAATTGCCATCATCTGTCACTGTATTAAATGTAGTGAAGGATGATTTAGGAAGTCAGCTGGGTTTAAATTGAACAAGATTGATTGAAGCAATAGAATTGTTAAGGCCGTGCAACGGGCAGAAAAAGGCTTTTTCTCCATCTTCATTTCATGCAAAGCTCAAAGAGGTTGAAGTATTGTAGGAAAATAACAGATGGATCCGGATTACCTTGGACCCAGGTTTGAGTGCAACATTATATATTTTGTATGTAATATGGTCCCTGATACATTGTGAGGCATCCTTTAACAAATGAATCTATTTGGGCGGATTTATTGAATATGCATTCATGAAAATTATTAGACGATGTTACTTTTCAGTAATAACTAACATGGTTGTGAAGTTGAGCTTGAAAGTTTGTAGAAAATTCGAGATGGACTCTGAGAATTCAAGAGACAAGCTATGAAATTTTTCGGGTAAACAGATCTTATCTTGGATAAAATACTTTATCTTGGATAAAATATTGCTTATTCTCATAGCTACAGACACTGAATGAATTTTGTTAAATTAGTAGATGTATTTTATATGGATTTATATTTTTAAAAGCATAGCATATCAATATCATGGTCATAGTTTGAGATTAGATTTTATATCAGCTGACGATGTTCAGCTAGTCCTCGATTTACAACCACAATTGAGCCAAATTTCTGTTGCTAAGTGAGACAGTTAAGTGAATTTTGCCCCATTTTATGACCTTTCTTGCCACAGTTGTTAAGTGAATTACTCCAGTTGTTAAGTTAGTAACACAGTACTTGTCATAAAGTTGCAAAAGGCAATCACATGGCTCTGGACCACTACCATAGTCGTAACCATGAAAAACAATCAAAAATCACTTTTTTCAGTGCCATTGTAACTTTGAAAGGTCACTAAATGAACTGTTGTATGTTGAGGACTACCTGTATATAATACAAAGAAGGATTACTTTAGGTAATCCTAACCCTACACCTAGAGTTTCTGCTTAGATTATGTGTATTGGAAAATAGAAATTACCTCAGAACATCTTAATTTGTGGTTGTTTTCCTGCTTTGAATGGAGTTTTGCTCCTTCTTTCCCTTGACCTTTCCTATCCCTTTCTTGAACAATTTTCTGGATGAACTGTTTGTGGTCAGCACACAAATTCTGGTTACTGAGAGAATGTCTGGATGACAGAATTTGCTTGTGCTTCAGCCTAATCCACTTTAGCCAGAAATAGCTTTGAGTTTGGATCATACTGTTATGTAGGCCTGACAAAAACAATTACAGAATTCCAAAATACAAATTAGTTTTATAAATATCTTAAAAGCCCAAAGTTCCCTTTGCCAGACCAGATCACCTCATGTGTGCAGCTCCAGTGTGATATATTTACAAGTTTGCAAGTGAAAGGATAAATATCTTGCTTTCTATTTGGATGTTTTGTGATACTTTTAACACAATTTTCTATTTGCAAGATACATGTAATGGTTATATTAAGTTATTCCCTGCCAGAACTGAGAGCTCCTGTTAGATCAGTACAGCTATTTTTAGGGGAAGGGGCATGAAGTAATAGGCTAATATTCTGCAAACATTATCATATATGTAAAGATGATGCAAAATCTGCTGAGTTTATTTTGAGACTTTATTTTAAAATATATGATGAACAACACAGGAATTAATATAAGATTTTATACAGCAGAAAGATCTCAATCATATCACAGTTATACTAATATTTAGATTTTGCCTTAATTACAATCTTAAAAAGAGTGAAATAGAAGCTGTTAGATTTATCAGGAAAAAATAACTGTAAGTTTTATAATGAATGCATTGAAATTCTGTTCCCATCTTTATAACTTGAAACGAATACACTTTGAGAACCACCTGAATATAAAGGTTTTGTACATTTACATATGATTTAAATTAAGCATACTTTGGTATATCTTAGTTTAATTCATATTGAATTGAGTAAAGATTATTTTTTTAAAATAAAAAGGCAGTTTTTAAAGCAATTATCAGTAATGTTAGGGGAGATGGCAATAAATACATTTATGTGGTTGGTGCACCTATCCAATCCCTCTTGACTTCATCCCTTCATTTCTCCCAGCTTATTAAAAATAAGCTGGTCTTATTTTTATTTATGATCTAGCTTCTATAACTGCTATGCAAAGCTGGCAGCTTTGCTCATTATCATACTACATTTAAGATCAGTGTCAGGCAAACTTTTTGTACTGAAAGCCTATCATACATAAAATGCATGCCACTGTTAAGGATCTTCCAAATTCACAAGTTTTTGTGCCACTCATGGCCTTCCACAAAACATACATTAAACAGAATGCAACTAACCCTCCTTCTAATGCACCAAAATGCTATCTAAGATTACCAAGAGGGAAGAGATAACACCTTCAACAAAATTACTCCATTGTAGACATCCACTGATTTTAATATTTTATTATGGAAGTATGCTCATCATACTTATATGCAGCCTGAAGACATTTTGTAAAATATAATTAAATGCTAAATCCTGTCTCTGACACATGGCAATTCTTCCAAGCTGAGCTCATTATTGTTTCATGCCTAAAGACAAAATCTTTCCAGACTAAACTATCTACATTTGTAACATACTCTGTGAACCAATAGGAACAAGTTGTCTTCACCCTCTTTCTCTCACACATACTATCTGATCTTAGTCTGCTGAAATTCACCCCTCTTCTTAGGAATCCATCTCCTCACTACCTTACACTACACCTTACACCATGGCAAATTCTTGATCTTATTTTTAAAATATATAAAAATAATATACTAATAAAATCAGATGGAGCACAAAGCCTGCCCTGGCAGTGATATTAAGGAATATATCTATGTTTGCTATTAGATACAAGCAGTATTAGTATTTTGGTCTAATACTTAAAAATGCGCTATGCTACTATTATTTCAGTGCTTTCATATTACACAATTTATTGCATATTTTCATTACTTGATCTTCATCATTATTTTGTAAAGTAATATAAGCTGAGGTTTAGTAACTGGCCCAATTCAGGCAGCTTATATTTGTTATAAAATCATTTATAAATCATTTATAAAATCATCTTGTTTTCATAAGTTAAGGAGAGCAGTTTAGTTTATCTTTGGGCTACTTATACATTAGAGAAAGGTGTACCTGATACAATTTTAAGGAATGGATAGAAATTTATGTAGATTCGATGTGAAGTTTAATCTCTTCCTCATGCATGATTAGTGTTTGAAAATGAAACCTGGGATTTCTGGAAGACTGTCCATAGGAATCATGTTTTTATTCACTGCATGGAAATTAATTTGGTGACTTTCAGGCTGAAATCTAAAACTCATGCATCAGTTATAAAGCATATTTTGTAACTGTGAATAAGAAACCCACAACTTCATGCATTTGCTGTGGATATTTATAAGATAGCTGCCAATTCATTGCGTATGACCAATGGCTTCACAATATTAGAAGGTATTTAATATTAAAATATTTTATAAAATTGGAGTTATCATGTGATTCATATAAGAATATATATAAGAGTCCTTTTTATTGCTTTCTAGAATTGGGCCATGACTTCTAGAATATTTTTTTATTTTAGCATTATTTTTCCTTGGTAATTTTGTACTCTCTACAGCATTAAGGTAAAAAATTTTGTCCGTTCACAATCCCATTCACTTCCCCCATTCTTTCTTGTTTGAGAATCCCTAGGAACTTCTCTAGATATTGGTTCATTATAGTGGGGAAGAGAGGTTTTTTTCTGTTTGGGTCTGGGCATTGGCAGGACAACTCCTTATCAGTACCTTGGAGAGCTCACTACAAGAGTTTACAGGAAACCTGTTGTTTCACAACTCACTAATGGTCATCTGAGGTTTAAGAATTTGATCACTTGGCAACTGGCATTTATTTACAACAGGTCATGTGTTCGCCACTTGAAATCTTCTCAGCTGAGTTCTAACAAGAAAAGTCAATGGGGAAAGCCAAAGTTCACTAAACTGCCTGATTCACTTAAAAACTGAAGTCATTCCCTTAGCAAACAAGGCAAAAAGAGCTGCCTTGCTTACCAATGGAAATTCTGGTCCCAGTTGTGGTTGTAAGTTGAGGACTATCTGTAATAGCTTTTAGGTAATGGAAATTCCAACTAGGTTTCTTTGTGAGTGCTTGATTACTTTAGCAATAACAATAGCAATAGCACTTAGACTTATATACCACTTTATAGTGCTTTGCAGCCCTCTCTAAGCAGTTCACAGAATCAGCATATTGCCCCCAACAATTTGGGTCCTCATTTTGAGTCAACCTTGAGCCTGGTGAGATTTGAAGAGCCAAATTGCAGTCAGCCAGCAGTCAGCAGAATCAGCCTGCAGTACTGCACTCTAACCATTGTGCCACCGTGGCTCACAGTTAAAAATAAAGACTGAAGATTTCAAAGTATGCTGCAAAGGAATGGGTTTCCCATGGCCTGTCCTGAGCAGCCTCTTCAACTGAAATCACTTCCAAAGCTGGAGAAACTTTTTTTTTTTTAGAATCTTCACTTTCTATAGAAGGATGTATGTTTTAGTCTGGAATCTATGTTGGGGTTTGCATCTGTTTTCTTGTATAATTTCTTTAAAAATTCCGCTGTACAAGAGAAAACTTTTAAGAGTCAGTCTGGTGTAGTGATTAAAGCACCAGTCTAGAAAGTGGAAGACTGTAAATCCTAGCTTCTGCTTAGCTATGAAACTACCTGGTAACATTGGCCCTATCGCTATCCTAGGAGGAGGCAATGCCAAACCCTTTCAAAAAACCTTGCTAAGAAAATTGTAATAACTAATCCAGACAGCTGTCAGAAGTCAAAAACTGACTCAAGGTACCTCTTCACCTTCCCACCCCCCAAAATGAGGGAAGGATTGAATTTTATGTCTCCCATGAATGATGTTCCAGATATGTACAAGAAGAACTTTGGGCTTTTGTAGCAGACTATTGTCTTCATATGTTTTGCCCAGAAGCTTAGATTTTTTTAAAAAAGAAAAATTCATCTGTGTTACTTAGCTGATCCATGCAGATCTATAATTTAATTCTCTGACAATGAATGACTACACTTTAATGTTTACTATTAAGGTTGAAAAGGAGTGCTTAGTTTTATTTTTTAATAAAATTTGGTTTATCTCTGATATTACCTCCCAAGGAGGGGAGGAAGAGCTGAATATGATGAACAGTTGAGGCAGCTAGGTATGTCTAGCCTAAGGGTCTTCAAACTTGACATGTTTAAGACTTGTGGACTTCAACTACCAGAATTCCTGAGCTAACATGACTGGAGGAGGAATTCTTGGAGTTGAAATCCAGAAGTCTTAAAGCTGTCCAGTTTGAAGACCCTTGGTCTAGCCCAGGGGTAACCAACCTTTTGGACCTCAGGGATCACCAAACTCATAATTTTAAATCCCATGGACCAGAGACGCTGGGAAAATCCCCCCAAAAAGTCTACAGGAAAATTCCCTACCCTGTTTTTCTACCTATCGATCATTCTTTATTTGGGATCACAGGATACCGTCCCCAACTCCATTTTCGGGGGGGGGGGAAGAGACTTTTGGCTTTATGCAGGGAAAACAGCAGAAGCAGCAGAAGTCTTTCTTTCTTTCCTGCAAACTCTGCCAGAAATGAGCCTTTGTGAGACTTGTTGTGCTGGCACAGCCTCTTGGAGCAGGATGCCTTGCAGAGTCCCAAAGATTCATTTCTGGCAGAGTTTGGGGGAGAGAAAGAAAAACTTCTGCTGCTTTCCCTGTGTGCAGCCAAAAGCAGAAGAAAGAAGCAGAAAGAAGCAGCCCGGTGGCCAGGTGAGGCACGTGGGGTGAGTGGGGCAAGTTCTCCCCCTCTGCCCTTTCCCCCCTCCCCTCACTACCTCGTGTTGTTCGCAATGCAAGTGATGCAAGCCTTGTATTCCCGTGGGCCATGTGAGCGACACAGCTTTGTGTTCCCATGCAGCTGGATTAATTGCTTTGGGGAATGCTTTGGGGGTGACATTTCTCTGCGGACCACCAAATTTTTCTCATGGACCATTAGTGGTCCCCGGCCCACTGGTTGGCGACCACTGGTCTATCCTATTGAAGAGAAGAATTAGGGACAATAAGTAATGGGTGAAAGCTTGCTTAAGAGAGATCCAACCTAGAAGTAAAGAGAAATTTTCTGACAGTGAGAACAGTTAATCAATGGAATAATTTGCCTCTCAGAGTTGTGGGTGTGCCAACACTGAAGGTTTTCAAAAACAGACTGGATAACCTTTTGACTGGGATGTATAAGGTCCCTTCCTTGAGCAAGCGGTTGGACTACATGACCTCCAAGGCCCCTCCCAGCCCTATGATTCTATGTTATACTAATCTTATATTAAGTTCATGTTTCTATACTATGTAGCTAGGTGTTGCCTTACTAGATTAAACTTATTTCCATGCGGCCCTTTTAATCACAAGAACGGCAGCATAGATTTCAGGGCCACAGTCTCTCATATTCTGGGTTAAGAGATAAGGCACCAGCTGGAAGATAGAAGTTATTAAAGCACTACCTAAAGTAGGATCTGAGGCTAAGATGTGGGGGTGGTTTGAGACCTCTAGCCTTATATCCTATGTTCTCAATCATCCTCTATTTACAGGGATATACAATGTTTGCAAGTTACTAGAAAGATCAGACAGTACTGAGCAATGATAATAAAAGTGCTGTAATCTGTAACTCATCATGGTAGTATCTACTTCAACATGAAATCCTAACATTAAAACCCTAAATTAAGCCTCATGCAATTCTGCTGCTTTTAAGGAAGAAGTTGAAGAGTTAAATTATTGTACTTAAAACTGTCATACAGAATTTGGCAGTAGTTAGAAATCTTAACTGATCCAAACGAAGTTAAGCAGGGTTGGCCATCATTAGTAGCTGGATGAGATACTGCCAAATCCTCTCAGGGTTACAGTCTAAGCTGGGAGATTAAAACAACAACAACAGAAGAAGGAATTGCAATCCATATCTGTACTATTGCCAAGATAAATAGTAAATGCATCCATAAAGGCATAGGAGGGTGTTGAGCTTCAAACCGAGTTTATCTCTTACTGTTAAGATTGTTTTATTTTTTAAAAAATAGAACCTAGATGTTTGGGTATTTTTATTATTTGAAGCCATTTTTCTTTAGCCAGCCAAGAAGGCTCTTGGAGTTACTTATAAAGTTTAATAATGGGAAGTTTTGTGCTCATATAGTCACATTAAAAGAAGATAAGCAAAAAGAACACAATTGAATCAGAGGAGGAAAAACCAAATCGCTTTCTAGTTCTAACTTCTAATGAAAGGTTTAAACAAGCAATTGAAAGTTAATCTCAAGTTATAGGTTATCCTTTTGTTGTACAGGTAAACCTCACTTTTTAACATGATGACCAACAAATGAGCCTGGAATTTGGGGTATAAGACATTGTGGTCCTTAAGCCTGACCGGACTCGATTTTACAACTGTAAATTTTTACGGCTTGATTTTTAACACAGTCGTAAAGTGAATCACTGTGGTCATGAAGTGAATTATTTGGTTGTTAAGCAAACCACATGGATGTTAAGGAAACCCTTTCTCCTGATTGGATGCTTTTTGCTGGAAACTGGCCAAAAATGGCACAAATGACATTGTGATGTTATTGTGGGACATTGCAACCAGTTGTAAATGTGAGCTGAAATGTGCCAAGCACTGAACTGTGATCATATAACTCCAGATGTGGCAGTCATAACTTTGAGGATGGATTGTAAGAAATTTGGGGGGGGGGGGTGTTTCTGTCATATGGTCATTAAATAAGGAGTACCTATACTACCAAATCTATAATGGGAAAATGTGTATTACGTATTACAGGTAGTCCTTGACTTTTTACCACAATTGAGCCCAAAATTTATGTCACTAAGTGAGAAATCTGTTGAGTGAGTTTTGCCCCATTTTATGACCTTTCTAGCCACAGTTGTTAAGTGAATCACTGCATTTGTTAAATGAGTAACATGGTTGTTAAATGAATCTGGCTTCCCCATTGATTTTGCTTGTCAGAAGGTCACAAAAGTTGATCACATGACCCTGAAACACTGCAACCATCATAAATCTGAATCAATTGCCAAACGATCTGTATGTAAATCACGTGATCATGGGGATGCTGCAGCAGTCAAATGTTTGAAAAATGGTCATAAGTAACATTTTTCAGTGCCGTCGTAATTTTGAACATCACAAAGTGAATTGTTGTAACTCAGGGACTACCTGTAATTTACAATATGTCATTTGTCTTACGAACGTGGTTCCTCTCTGCACCTCCAGTAAAGGAGGAACAAATCTAAAAGGTATTTTTCAATGATGCATAAAATGATTTCATATGTATTCAACTTTCTTTCCTTAGAACATTCTCAGAACTCCGCATTACTAAAGCTTCGTTGGATGATGCTGGGGAATATACATGTAAAGCAAGCAACAGATTTGGAGATGACAGCACTAAAGCTGAAGTAACTATTGCAGACACCAGTGGTAAGATGTGGTTCATTCTTACCTAGAATTGTTGCAAATAGAATGAATTGTTATAAAAATTAATATTTTTAAAAATCCTGTAATATATCTACTTAAGGATATAAAACTCAGACTAAACTGAAGTGAAAATATTTTGGTTTATCATTTAATGGATAATATAAAGGCCAAATGTAGGTAGAATTTCTAAATAGTAGGACACAATATTAGAAAGAAAACTTAATAATGTTTACGCTGAGAAGTTCTTTCAAGTTATTTGAATATATTCTGACACACTTTCAAGTGTAGCTATGAAAACAATACCTTTCTATAGGAAGTGATCATATTTATTTTATTACTCAGATAAGTAAATAAAACTCTTTATCTGTTTTTGGCTTAAGTGCAAGCATAGTATAAGAGACCTTAAAATGTGTATCTTCTACTACAGCCACACGTGCCTCATTGTTTCTCTAGTCAGCAAAAACAGGGAAGAGATTAACCTTTTGTGCACATGGGAACTGCTCCAGTTTACTATCTTCATTAGAGAAATTACAGCAATAGATTTATATGCAATACATATGGAGTTGTTAAATGCATTTATTCCTCTCGAGTCCTGTAATTTAGATTTGTAATTTTAAGGTGCAGAAAACAGAAAAGTAAAAAATAGTTTGTGGTCAATGAAAAAAGATACCGATATGTTTTAACCGGTATGTTCAGCTATGTTTTTCACAGCAAATACGCAAATTGCTGTTTACTCCATCAGCATGTATATAATCTTTGTAACAGAAAGTCCTGGTTATGAGCCACCAGATGATTATATAGTTTGCCATTTTGTTTCCTAAGGTAGCAAAACTCAGATACTTTTCTATTTGCCATTAGATAAAAAAACAAAACAAAATGGAAATGTATTGTGTTGGTCTACTTTAAATTCTTAATCTATTGAATGTTCCAGATTTTCAAACATTATGCTAAAAAGTGAAATGCAACATTTATTTGCAGGTTATATATTTATAGAGGCATATATTTAATTGGACATTGTAATGTTGGTATTAGAATATTTTACTTTGATAATGTTACTTGTTCTGCATTCTCTTGACAGTTTATGGTACAAGCTTTATGTTAAAACAATATTATTAATATTTAAAAATTAAGGGATTCTAGAGGACTGTGTGAATCTTTACAAAGTGATTTGAGGCCAAAATCCCCATAAAATAGTAATGGGAGAAACATCCCACAACTAAAATGCTGCTATTATTTAAGCTTTGTCTTAGGAATTACTTATATTTGGACAATATATACAGAGAAGGATCATTTAAGTTTCAAATGTCAAAACTGCACTTTGCATGAAATAAGAGATATTCTAGAAACCAATTAAGACAGCAAAGCATTGGTATATTATATCCAGATCATCTATTCTCAATTCTAGCAAGTCATTTTTAAATTATGTAGAACTTTGGAGGCCATTTCCATGTGTGACACATTCCAAAAAAATTCAGCCTGGGAGTTTCAGAACACAAATAAACCGAGGATATAGTTTTTTCTGTATTATCCTGAATTGACAAAAACTGTTCCAAGCCACTTGACACTCTGCGACAAGAATTGCAGTCAGTGAGCCCCTCTCTGTGTTCCTTTACAAAAAGTACAAACTCAGCAAATAAATAAGAGCTGCGTTGGCACAATTGTTAGAATGCAGTATTGCAGTCTGACTCTGCCTACTGCCAGGAGTTCGAGTTTCAAAATATTTCCCTAAAAAAAAAAAAAAGAATTATTAGCTTTAGGAAATCATTATCATTATCATCATTGTAGTCATTGTCTATCCACTGCAGGATGAAGGCCTCTTCTGCATGTTTCCAACCATTATGGTCCTAAGGATTCTTTTGCCAACTGGGCCCATAATACTTGCTGATGTTGTTGATCCATCTTGTTTTCAATCTCTTTTGTGAATGCTTTTTATCAAGTGGGATCCTTGGTCAACTTGCCATCAGTGATTCTTGCTATGTGACCAGCCCATTTCCATTTCAATTCTTTTATTCTCTTGATAATATCATATACTTTTGTTCATTCTCTAATCCATGTGTAGGTCTTTCTATCTTGTCTTGTGATGCTTGAACTTGTATCTATTATGTATATATATATATTAGGAAATACATTTTAGAATAATAATTAGGGTACCCTTATTCAAAACTAAGTATTAAGATGTCTGAAAAATTGACAGTTATGTAAAGAACAAAATTGCATGAAAAAAACATTACCAGTAAATTCTACTGTTACAATAGTGTTATATTGAAATACTAATTTATGAATATTGAAGTAATGGATTAAACAGGTATTTCTTTTCCCTGTAACTGACCTAGTTCCCATACATAAATGAATTGGTTGCCATAAATCTGCACAGTTTCACACTTGGAATGGCTTTAGCAGTTTGAAGTGATATCCCAGACTCAGGACTCAGCCAGACTACAAGGATAAAGTAATGACTCAGATAAATGGACACATGTTTGTGCACCTAAGGATATTCCTGTTCTCTCTTCCAACTAAAAGAATGGAGAAAAGATCACAAAAAGTATGAGAATTCTTATTGCAAGCCCTAAGTACATGATATAAAATTCCAACCGATTGATTAGTGATGCTCTCTGCAATCTCAGTGGAGCATTTGCTGTATTTAATGGCTCTGCTCCAAGTGAAGCTCTGCTCCAAGCAGAAGCTGGTGATTTGTTTTGTAGTATGCTAAGTTTCCACTTAATTTCTTTTATAATTAAAAAAATCTTTAGAAAATATTGAGTGGAAGAAGCACCTCAATGTGCACCATTGAAAATGTTAACCTACAAAAGAGGGTACCATATTGTCTGCCCTGATATAAAGGCATATCTATTGCATTATTGTTTGCCATAGCAATGTGTCTTTTTAATTTTTTTAAATTTTATTTAGAATTTGTTTTATTTATTTATTTGATTTGTCAATTGCTTACAAGATAATAGGTATAAGTATATACATAGTTATGAATACATGAAATGGGTACATATATGAAAAATAAAAGAAACAATAGGACAGGGACAGTAGACACGCTGGTGCGCTTATGCATGCCCCCTACAGACCTCTTAGGAAAGGGGTGAGGTCAATAGTAGACAGTCTAAGGTTAAAGTTTTTGGGGTTTGGGGAAGAAACTACAGAGTCAGGTAGAGTATTCCAGACATTGACCATTCTGTTGCTGAAGTCGTATTTCCTGCAATCAAGTTTGGTGCGGTTAACCTTGAGTTTGTATCTATTGTGTGCTCTTTTGTTGTTATGGTTGAAGCTGAAGTATTCATTGACAGGTAGGACATTGCAATGTATGATTTTATATACCATACTTAGATCAGACCGAAGACGGCCTAATTCAAGGTTTTCTAGGTCTAGAATTTCAAGTCTGGTGGCATAAGGTATTCTACAACGAGTAGAGGAGTGGAGAACTCTTCTTGTGAAATATTTCTGGAGTTTCTCAACTGTGTTAATATCAGATACGTAATGTGGGTTCCAGACTGATGAGCTGCATTCAACTATTGGTCTAGCAAATGTTTTGTATGCTCTAGTTATTAGTGTAATATTACCAGAGAAAAAGCTACATAAGATTAGGTTAACAACTCTTAATGCCTTTTTGGCTATGTAGTTACAGTGGGCTCTAGCACTTAGATCATTAGAGATGAGTATTCCAAGGTCCTTTACAGAGCTTGGATCATCAACAAGATCTTGACTATTCAGCTTGTATTTTATTTTCTGATTTTTTTTGCCAATATGTAAGACAGAGCATTTATTTGTTGAGATTTGAAGTTGCCATTTGTTTGACCATTCTGATATATAGTCAAGATCTTTTTGAAGAGTAGCAGTATTGTCTGTGGTATTGAACAGCTTTACATCATCAGCGAAAAGAACGCAGTTGCTCTTAATATGATCACAGAGGCCATTTATGTAGAGTATGAAGAGAGTTGGTCCTAGAACACTGCCTTGGGGGACACCACTATTGACAAGTACAGAATTTGATAGGACACTCCCAATTTTGACCATTTGTTGTCTGTTTGACAGGAATGCTTCTATCCAGTTATGCAGTTGTCCAGAGATACCATAAGATTTTAGTTTTAGGAGTAGTTTGTCGTGTACCACTGAATCAAAGGCTTTACAGAAGTCTATGTAGATTGCGTTTATTGCTTTGCCCTGATCGAGTTGTGTAGTCCATATGTTTTTGCAGTGTAAGAGTTGCAGATTACAGGATAGTTTTTTCCTGAAACCAAATTGTTTATTGGAGAGTAGGTTGTTTGTCTCTAAGTGGAGGATAATGGATTGTTCTTAAGACTGTTCTGTTTTGCACCATTAGCATGGATAGCTTCTGCTAGTTGTATCCTTCAACATCCTATTGGGCATTTTAAAGATTTTATACAATGGTTTTAAAATAATTCTAAATATATGAGCAAAGAAATAATTGGCATTATATTCACAACATTTTAAAGATCAGCATGTGTATGAAGAAAATAGCAAAAAAAAATATCAAATGAGATTATTCTGTTACAATCCCCAGTTATTCAACAGTTATCTATCTTAAATGTAACTGCTCATCTCAAGTGAAAACTCTCAAAATAGCTATCATGAATCAAATATTTATCTTGGATTCTTTTGTAAGTGGCCAAGTGAGGCAGCTTTCAAAGCAACTATGCAAGACCCTCCCCTTTCACAGAACAGTTCATCCCATATATCTAACTCTCTTCCATCTTGGCTCTTTAAGAAAGATTGGAAGATGTAGACATTTATGATGTTATATAGTGCATTTTCTAGATTGATGCTATGTTTTGGCATTTTGTAAGCTGCTCAGAGCCTATGTGTTTTTTTTTCCTGGTGGGACCAGTCTATTAGGACAACCTGGTCTACCCAGTTATGGGATAGAGCATACTGCTTCTGCTTTCCCCTTTCAGCTCATAAATTCAACTCAGAGCCTATGGGAACTGAGCAACATCAAACACTAAATAGCATGGCTGATGTTACTAAGTTTGATAATG